GTTTAGTGCTTTCACGCCCATTCTCCCAACTCTTGAGATCGATGAATACACTCGAGATGACACTTATGATGGTCGGGATTGATTTGACATTCTCCACGGACATTTTTGTATATCCGGAGGTCGATTATGTGGCTATAGTTCGTAAAAAATTATTTATTCTTTTGGTGATTGTTGATATCCGTGCTTGGTTTCACAAGAACACGACCACGAGAGTTAATTAGGCCCGCCTTTGTTCTATTCTACAGTCTCGACTACTTTTGAAAAATACAAAGGTGTGGCATGATCAACATTTTTCCTTGGATCCAGGTTGATTTTGGTTTGGGGACGTCGAGCTCAAGACAATAAATTGAGCACTTCGTGGGAGACAACCCACGATTTTGTTCACCCTTGTTTTTCTCCTTTTTATCATAAAAAAAAAAATCTTGTGCAGACCTGTTCTGAAGTACCGATCTGTTAGTGTCGAGCCAAAAACAAAAAGCCCCGTGAAGCACATAATACACATGAAACGCTCGAAGAAGGAAAAAAAAAATGAGGGGTTGAAAATGGTGCAAGAAAGTTGGGACGAGAGTTGGGGATTGAAAAAGTAAAATTTTTGGCTAAGTGTAAGGAAATGAGAAAGTTTCGCAGCTAAACCCAGAGACCCATGCGAACGCCTCGCACAACAATCGCGCGTGACCTGGCATCCTCGAGCACTCGCGACCCGAGTGCTTCCTCACGAACGGTGAGGGTCTCGTGAGAATGCGAGACGCCTATCTCCAGCGAAATGCTGAGAATCCCTTGTGCAGCATTGACTCATGCTCTCAGCTTCAGTCCGTAACCCGACGACCACAGTCTCGCATGCGTGGTGTTCTCGCGACCCGACGAGCAGTGTCTTGCGAGAGAGCGAGACGTCCGTCTCAAGCGAACAAGCGTGGCGCCCTTACTGCAACATCGACTCGTGCTCCCAGTCTTCGCTCGCGACCCTGTGAAAGGAAACTTGGCCTCGCGTTCCGACGACCTTGGTGTTAGTGTGTATACTAAAAGCTTGGCTCTAGATGTTATTCTTACTATTTATGTGGAATAAGATTTCATATTTGATTAAACAAAGTTCTATGTTTTATTGATTCATTTTGATAAATGGTTCATCCGGATGAAGATCATTTATCGGTTACTTGCAAAACATAAATAAATTGGTTCACAAACAAGATAAAAATTGAACAAACCATAGAAATGGTTGCAGTATGAACTATACAATTGATCTTGGTTGATTGGTTGCAGTAGTACATATTGGTTTATTGAACATGAACACAGAGAGGAGCAGTTCGTTTTGTACTGATTGACAGAAACGAACTAAGTCTCGGCTGATTACTGCGTTCTCTTAGCCCGTAAGATATAAACAGGCACATGTATGTAATAGTTACTACTTTAATTCTTCATGGTGAGATTCATTCTATATGGATCAATAACCAACTGAGTTGGTTTGTACTGTTGCATGATATGGTGTGCGGTTAAAATATTTACGATCACCATGTACTTCTCATGTTGAAGTTTGATGATGTCCCCAAAATGAGGTCAGAAGGATTAAAACCCTGCAAGTGGATTAAATTTCGGCATAATAAATGCATTGAGTGGTGCTAGCTTCGGTTCAATAAGTCAATTAATATAATTGTCAGTAATTAAATTAGTTGATGGGCATTAAATCTTAAACATGAGGAGATAATTCGAGTAAGTAGAAATTGGAGCTCAAATCGTAATTTGAGAATTAAATTGGGAGTTTCCAATAACACTACTTTAGTGGAATGACTGTATTATTCGTTTTTGAGCTAAGTGGGCTCAGCCCGCAGTTGGGCCCAAAATACGATAAGCCCAATTTAATACCTCCTCAGGGTCCCTAATGAAGCCTATAAATACACCTCTTCTCTTGTCTTCCAAGACATACATTACATAGAGACAGCCTGTTGTTTCTCGGTTTCTGCACGCACGCAGTCGAGCGACGACCCCGACGAGGCGATTTTCGGAGAGTGGATAATCAACCGATCTCCATCAATAGAAATTTAAAACATCTTAGAGTCTGCAAGTTTTAAACTGTAAGTCTTCTACCTTAACCTATTGATTCGCTGCACATAGGTTAATTCATAGATAAATTTGTAACTTGCACATTAGAGACCATCCTTATAGATCCCAACACTAGACAACTCCACACGCGAGCTCGCGCGTACAGCCTGTCGAGCCCCGCGACTGAGCCACACGAACACCCATACTAGCCGCTAACAGTCGGGCAGTTCAGGCAGATCAGGCAATTCAGGCTGTACTATTGGGCAACCCGGACAGTTTGGGCAGCCCATCCGGGCAGTCTTGAGCAACAAGATATCATCTCCTTATATAAGGGAATGAGGTAGGCCCATTGTCATATTACATGCTCTATTATCCCATACACTATTTTCTACACTTCATCTTCTACAAGTGCTTATTTAAGCATCAGAAGCTCTTTACCGAAAAACTCCTCCGGTGTGAGTGTTTTTGCAGGTTCGCAGGCGATCTACCAGCGAGAAGCTCGAGTTCAGGACGTTTCCAGCCTGTCCTAGGTCTTTTGTATACCAATGGGGTTCAGTAATAATTTCATATCTTGGGTTTGGACTTGTATTAGTACTACTTCTTTTTAGAATGGTGTGGTTGTATGATATATTAAACCTTCTAGATGTTTAAGGCAAAGGGATCTTTTTGATCCTTACCTTTTCATTATTTGTCTGAGGTTTTCTCAAACCTTCTCCCTCAGGCCAGATTAAGTAGGGACCTGCAAAACTTCCTCTGTTCTCACTCACCTTTTTATTTCTTTATTTTTTTTGCTGATGATTTCCTTTTTTTTTTTTTTCATTGTTTTTTATCATGTGAGTAAAAAAATCATGAGTTGGAAAAATAAATTTATGAGTTTAGATGAAACAGAAGTTTTATTAAAAGTTGTTATCAATGCTCTTCCTATTTACATAATGTCTTTTTCTAAGATTCCTTTATCTATTGGACAAGACATTTGTAAAATTGCTTCTCAATTTTGGTGGGGAAGTCAGATTTTGAGAAAAAAAAAAAAAAAAAAGATTCATTGGATGAGTTAGAGAAAAATGGCTTTTACTAAGGACTGAGGTGGTCTAGGTTTTAAAGACTTTAATAGTTTTTGACAATGCTTTACTAACTAAACAATTGTGGAGAATACTTACGTGTCTACAATTTCATGCAATTAGATTGGCTTTAGTGAATGCAAGTCAAGCAAGAAAGATACAAATTCTAACATATATCGAGGCTATTGCGAGGATATTAAATTCAATAGGTGTTTTCCTGTGGCTTTTCATGTAATAGCCGAAGATATCTATCTCATTTGTTACCTTTATGATGCTTGTATTTTATTGGCAAAAGGGTACTTTTTGTAGATTGTAGTGATAGGTTAGCTTCTTTTTCTATTCGTGGAGAAGTCTCGATGATTTGATTTGCTATGGCTTGGATCAATGTTGATCCTAGTAGCTTTGTCACGTCAATTGATATCTCGTTTGTAATCGTTTATCCGAGTTTTATAAAATGCTGCCATTTAAAAAAAAAATACTCAATGGGAACAAGCCAAATTATTTATTCTACTAGAAAATGTATCAATGTGTTCTACAATCAAAATGCTCAAATGGAAATAGTGAAATAAATTAAAAATAACATAAATTTAATTCATTATGTAGATGGATCAGGATGGTTATCCCTCTTTCAGATTCTAGTAGTTGTTTTGTATTTTGTGCTTTGGCCCACATTGTGGTGCAGACTGCTCGTCTAGACAAAACGCTAGGCTTATAAAATTTCATCTTTATACGTAAATCTCNTTTTTTAAAATAACTCATTGTTAGCTTACAAAATCAATCGCATAAATGTCGACGAGTTTAAAAAATTCATCCCTTCTCTATCTTCATAGCTGCAATTGTGAATTCTACAACCGTGCGTATAAAATTTCATTTTATTTATTACATAATATTTTGGTTTGTAATCTTAAATCTGCATAAATTGTTAACTGTTTGCATTACTCTTAATTTAAATTTGTAAATTTGATAACCCGTGGAATCGTTAAGTGCATTAATCTCAATTTGTATTTGTAATATTGATAAATGCATAAACGATTTGTATTTGTATCAAATTTTCAGGTGGAAGTAACATCATAAATCCTGTATCATCTAAATCTTCACTAAAAAATAACGTCTTTATTTAGGCCTATAAAATTTTAGATACTTTAAACAAACTGTTTAAACATTTGTTTTACATTTTCAATATATATATATATATATACACACACATATATATAATAGATGTTAAATTTAAATATTTATATACATGTTTTCTTTACAAAATAGTTGAAAAAAAAAATCTTATGTACAGATGTTAATTTCAAATATTTTTAGATACGTCTTCTTTTCAAAATAGTTTAGAAAAGTTGTCGGTGACTTCACATCTTTCACAAATAATATAGAAAATTTTGGATACTTTTACTTATATTAATATAATAATTTAGATGTTTTTAATATTTTAAACATACAATTTTATATTCTCTTATACAAGATAATTTTACATTGTTTGACTCCACATCTTTAAATTATAATTATTATTTAATATTGTTTATTCTCCTCTTTAATTTATAAATATTTTTTTCTCTCTATTTTTGAAGAGCATCAATAGTAATTCCCACTTACTCTACTAAGTGACTCAAACTCGAGTCCTACACTAATAAATTAAATAAAAACAAATTATATAAACTGTTAAAAAACCGTGTTCAACATCACTGACCTATAAAACCCAACCCAACCAAGGTTACTTTTTCTGATAACCCTATAACTCCACCACCATCTCCCTATAATTAACACAACCTCACAAACACACACACTCTCCACTTTTTTTTTAGCTTTGAGCCCAAGAAACACTGAGCAAGAGCAAGTACATTTAATTAAAAAGAAATATTTAATCAACTTAATTATTACAAAATTTCACTACTTTTTCTCGAAATGAGCTGCAGTGGATGCCGGGTGTTACGGCGAGGGTGCAAAGAAAATTGCACCCTAAGGCCGTGTTTGGAATGGATCCAAAGCCCGCGGGCCCAAGCCAACGCCACAATGTTCCTCTCCAAATTCTTCGGCCGCAGCGACCTCATCTCCTTCATCTCCGCCGTGCCGGAAAACGAAAGGCCCGGTAATGTAAACCTCGCTTTTTTTCTTTTATTCTATCCTCTTAAATAAAGGAAAAATTCATCACATCTTGCAATTAACCATTCAATTTCCGTGCAGCTTTATTTCAATCGCTGATGTTTGAGGCGTGCGGGAGGACGGTGAACCCGATTGGCGGGGCGGTGGGGCTGCTGACCACCGGAAATTGGCACATCTGCCAGGCGGCGGTGGACACGGTGCTTGCCGGAGGGGAGCTGCAGCCGCTGGCCGTCGGGATTACGGCGCCGGCGGGGGACAGGGCTCCGGTGACCATGGATGGGCCCGCCGGAGGATGGGGCTGCGTGGACAATACGGTGTCGTTTGGGGGGTCGGATTTTTCGGAGGTGTCGGGTAGTGAGGATAATGGGGCTGTAAGGGCTGATGGCGAAAAGCCAAACCTTTTAAACCTTTTTCGTTAAAAAGCTTTAAGATAAAGCTTTTTACACATTTTTGTTGCTTGCAGATCGGGACTAACTTTTTCTTTTTTTTTCTTCTCTTTTTTGATATCATTTGAGGATAATGCAACTGGTTAACATGAAATAGTACCTCCTTTTGTTGATCTTATTATGGGAGAGAGTACAATCAATGTTTAATAAGATACACAATCAAGTGAAGTAATAAAGGAGAATGTTTCCATTTCTTTAGTGTTTACTATGTATTTTCATTTGTCAGTGATATTATATTTGAGACTCGTATTCAAAATACTACAATATATAAAC